AGGGTACCGCAAAGCTGCATGGGGAAGTAGGCACAACCTGTTAACTACAAGATTCTGGACACAGGTGAGGAATAGTTCCCAAAGCCTGGCAAGTGGACTTCTTGTGAGAATTTGAGCAGGTCTTCAATGGAATGGCCTAGACCTCATCAGCATGAGGTGTGGGATCCCAGCCCCACCTCACAGGACCCACATGCAGAAGTTCTTGTAGCTTTCCTCAAGATCTGGTCAGCATAAAGGAGAGGCACCAGAAGAAGAACTTGCTGCCATGGCTTTTCCTCACAAGAGCCCACCCTGCTTTCTCCAGGGTGTTCTTTTATCTTGCTTTTTCCTCTTTTACTTGACCAAGCTTACTCTGCAGAGCCAGTTTCTCCCCAACTCATTTTTACTTTCTCAAATAAACTTTGTCAGTTTTTCACTCATTTGGTTCAATTCTTTCTTCGAGATGAGAAGAACCTGGAATTTAACTCCAGAGGGAGAGGCAAGCAATCTAGAACCTGGTAACATTTAGTCCTCAAGCTACTTTTATAAGCTGGCTACCCAATAACAACATGAGTCAGTCAGTTTCACCATAGACATTTCTTGGGTTCCTTTGAGTAGGTACAGTTAACCTCTGAAGGTTGAGGCAGGTGTCAGTTGGACAACCCTTCCCCTAAAAGCTAGCCTCTAGATTAAAAAGGAGGATTATTTCAATATTCTGCCATAGGTACTGACATTTATTAGCAAGCATCCCAAAAGTAGTCACAATGCCTATTCTGTCAGCCCCACAAATCCCAGCACTGTTATTCCCTTTTTGCATGGAAAACTCCCTGGAACCAGACATAGGACTGCTCATGCTGATACCAAACAGAGTAGGGAACTGCCCACTTGAATTATGTATTTCTAAGGATTCACGCCATAGATGTCACTGGATCTTGATGCCCCATTCATGCAAAGGTAGAAAGTATTTCAAAAATGTTTTATCGCTCCAAATATCTTGAGGCTCTTTCATCTTACCATTGGAAACCCATTTCTAACAGATCCCTTGCTACTTAAGAAGCCACTAATTTCAGGAATCAAGAAGCATTTCCGACATTTTGAGATACTTGGTAAAGCATCAGGTACAAACAGAGATAGAACAGAAGCCTGCTTTAGGCTTCAGGGCAGGGTGGATGACAAAGCCAGCCAGACCCCCTCCCTGTTCTGCTCCCATCAGAATGACAACTGCACCTGTGATTGCTTCACTGCAATCACACTCAAACACATTGTGTAGGTGAGAGGTTGAAAGTCAGTCTCAGACAGCATAATAGAGCAGTTAAACATTCCCTGAGAGATCACATGCACAGAGCACTGAGCACTATTGCTGTCACATTAGTAAATATGGAATAAATACTGGCTGTTATTGTAATTACTGTTAAAAAGCTTTTCTCCTCCTTTGAGAAAGGGATGAAAGTTTTCATATCTGAGGACAGGAAGGGAAGGAAGATCATGGCATTTGTTGAGCAACTGGCAAGTGCCAAGCTTTTCATATGCTTTGTGACACTTAACTGGCACAAGCACCTGGCAAGGCGAGTTTTCTGATCACGAACTCCCATATAAGGAAGCTGAAACTCAAACAGCACAGGCCCTTGCCCAGGGCCACACAGCTAAGGGATATCAGACCCAAGATGGAAACTCTCTTGAATGAGAAAGAGAGTGTACAGCACCCTCACCTTCTCCCTTGCACCTTGAACTCCCAGAAGTGGGGTGATATTAAAACCCACAAGCATCAAGAAGAGCAGAGTCTCAGGAGGAGAAGGCAGGTGAGAAGCTCAAGGCACAGAGGTACTGCTACAGACTGCAAGCCAGGAGTCTCTTGGGGCCAGGGTCTGACCAAGAGAGGGATCACTGTGTATGAGGTGACTGTCATGGAGTGAATTCTCCCAGAAGCAGAACTTGAACCAAAGCTTTGGTGTAAGCACCAAGACCCCAGTTTGAGAGTAGAGGTAGCAGGAAAGGGAAGAGGAGAAAGTAGACTTTTGTACACCTTCAGCAGACAGCCATGTGCTTGGGGCAACCCTTAAACTCTTCAGGATGTTTTAACTTGTCAACTCCTCCCCAGGGTGAAGTGGTTCCAGTACGGTCAAGCAGCTCTCTGCAGGCATCCAGAAGCCAGGATGGGCATCCAGAGCTGGACAAAGGAGGCCTAGAGGCTCTGGGCAGGACACACTGACAGAGTGCTTTATGGTACTCACTGCCAACATTCAAAGGTGTTTGTCCTTCAGTATCCAGCAAAGCCAAGTCCTTCTGCTGGCCCATGACCCTCCTCACTGACCCCGCCTACACACATAACTCAGGCTGCCCCCAACTCATGCCATATCAGTTTTCCCACTCTTCTCCAGATCAGCATGTACACTCCAGCCTTGGGTTTGTGTATCTCTGCTGGAGACCCTCTTACCTGCAGACTCTGAGCCCTCCATCCAGACTTCACACCACTCACCATCTTCTCAGAGTACTGGATGACCCTTGTAAGAGGAAGCAGCTCTGTCCCTCTTCCCTGTACCCTGAGTCTCTCTTCCTCATCACAATCTGACACCACATTACACATTTTTCTTTCCGAATTCACTTATAGTCTGGCTAAGAGAGACAGAAGTGAATGCCCCATGAGGGCATCCATGAAAGGACCACCTGAATCAAAATTCCATGGAGGACTTATTAGCAATGCAGATTTCTGAGCAGTAGCCATGCTGGGAAGGAGATGGAGTTCTCAGGGTACTCTCAATAGCACTGACCCCTCACAGCTCTGTAGAGGGATCCAGGGGTGGACACTAGGCAAAGTGAGGCAATGGCTTTCTGGTCACCAAGGGAGTCAGGGCACTGGGTACCAGGTTTCCAGGATCCAATCCTGGCTGAGAGGCAGCAGAGCTGTCAGACTCCCAAGGTACCTGTGAGCTAGAAAACATGGACATCCGAGGCAACCACAGCAGACTGGTGTCAGACAACCCTCCCTCCTTTCCAGACACTGTGTCGCTCTTCTTGATCTATGAACCCTGGGAAAGGGGGTCCCTGAGATGGGCTGAGATAGAGGGTTGGAGTCAGCTTTTTGCATAAAGACACTATTTGATTTTTAAAACTGTTTTTTACAACTTACTATAAAGTGGGTAAATTAATTATATCTAATCATTTTAACTTTTTCATAATATGCATGCTTGAGTTTATCTCTGGGTAGTTTTAAAATCTAATATTTACTTAGTAATAAATTCCAATAATATTGTAAAAGTATTAAACAGGGCTTTTGAATTTCATATTAACATGTGTGTTTGAAGGAAAAGATATCAGACCATTTTTGTCATTGGACTCAGATATGATTCAATTTAGAAAAACACTGAAGGAACTGTCTCTTCAAAAACCGAATGCTGGAGCCTATCTCAGATACACTGAAGCAGAATCTCTAGCGGTAGCACTGGAATCTTGTGTCCCTCGAGACACCCTACAGCATCTTGTCCTCTGCTGAGAACTTTGGAAAAACCAAAGGGGTTGAGTGAGAGCTGGGCCCCAGCCTCATCCTGCTCAGGGTACTTGGCAGGGATGGTTTAGCTAAATGCCAGACTTGCTTTCTGTTAAATACTGAATTGGCTGCATTTCTGTCTGGCCAGGAAGATCCAGCTTCCAGAAGGCCTGCTGGGGTGGGTCAGAAGATAAAGCACTCGGAGCGAGGCAGGTGGAAAAAAAGAAAGGTGGTACAGAAATGGAGGAGGAAAATTCAGGACCACTAAATAATGAATGCTGAGGCTAAGAATGATGCCCAGGTTTATCTCACATGTTGTAGAAAGAGTAAAGAACGGGCAGCCCAAGAGTTGGATGCAAAGAGCATTTCTGTGGACCTGTGTTTGAGCGTGTACTCCACCATTCATTTGCTCTGTTTCTTGGAGACAATCATCTCACTCTTCCGTGCCTGGGATTCCTCATCATTATATCATCATATCCCAACCTATACCCTTGACATCTGACAGGATGGACTAGTAGAGCTCATTATCCAAGAAAAACTTATCACCATGGACAATCATGCCCATCTGTTCATCTGAAGGATGGCACATAACCAGCCTACCCCAGGTCTGCTTCTCATCACTTGACCACACCAGATACAGCACCACCAAGACACTGAACTTGCTCTTCTTCATGCCCAGACCAGTCTTTCTCATCACGTCCATGTCAAACTTTCTGTCTCTTTTACATAGCCTAGAACTTTTTCTTCATCTCCATATCTGCTTTTTCGTCATTCGGGTCTCAGCTTGACTATAACCTTTTCAGAGCCCTTCCCAAGCCTTCTTGTCCAATATTGTTCCCCCTACTCCCACTCCAGGCATTCTAGGATATAACAGCATGCTTTTACCTTTGTCTCATCACTCAGTACTTATAAATCTTTGAAATCATCTAATTTATCCATCTTTATAGGAGTTTGTGGTCAACATCTCTGCTGACATAAGAGTTCCTTGAGGACATGGGCTTTCTTAAAAGTAATTACCCCAAAATATCTGTGGAATGAATGAACAGCTTTGCTTTTTCTTGGAGTTGCCTCTTGGTCTACCCTCTCTCTGTTCCACTCTCAGTTCTTCTCCCTTTTGACTCTTACAGTCTCTTTTGTCTCTTCCCCCCCCCAATCCCCATTTCTTTCTCTTGACTCCTGACTCTTATGATCAGTTTCCCTTACATGTCACTGGATTGGAAGGTTGTAGATCCTTCCTTTCCTTCTGGTGGATACTGTATTAACTTAAAATAACCCAGACCGGGCAAGAATCATTTCTCTAGCTAAAATTACAGCACGAATGCATTTATGCAGATACCTTATCCTGCTGATCAGAGAGGGTGTACTGACCACCCAGTTCACAAAGAAAGGGAAAGTGGATGGAGAAACCCCCATTCCACCACACCACTTAACAACCATCAGTGGAGATAGGTGGGAGAACAAAATGAAATGTCCTCCAGGGGCTAAAAAGAAGGAAAATAAGATTACCTTTAAACAAATAAACAGGAAACTGACTGACCTTGGATCAAAGTTGCAAGCTGGGGCAAGGCTCAGGTGGAGGCACTGCCATATCTAAAGGAAGGCTCTCTTCCCAAACGGGGAGTTCCTTGGTTCTGGAATTAGAATAAATGTTTACTTAATCTCCTTATTTGACAAACACCTTGGTAACATATTTCTTTGTATGAGGTCCTTTAATACTCTCAACAGATAATACTTTCTTCTTTGCTACCCTTGGTCTTATCAGAACTAGATTACAAAATCCATGGGAATAGGAAGCATGTCCTTTATTTCTTACCATTTTCTTCCTTATTTTGTCCAAACCTCACAACCCAGAGTACAATGGTAGAAGAATAACCTTGTTGATTAATTTCTCTACCCTGGGGTTTCCTCCTTTCTGAAAATACTCCCCTCCTTTAGCTTCTGTATCTATAACTGTTCAGCCTATTCCTTGCCCTATACTTTAGATTCTTCTGTTCTGTAAGGAAAACTTTTTAATCTTTCTTTGATGGCCATCACTTATTTTAAAGCAATATATTTTGATGGATGGACAAATTGACTTTAGAAAGTAAGATGCCCATGTTTAATTCAGGTGCTACCACAAAATAGTTCAGTGACATTGGGCAAATTAACCTCTGATTGCCTGTATCCTTCCAGTAAAATGGTTTTAGTAATAGTAAATTGAACAATTATTGCAGCAGTTATTGTAGAGTTAAAGTATAGAGTTATTATAGAGGTAAAAGTAAACAGTTAATTATTTTAAAAAGTTAAAATGTAATTAAAGCACAAAGCACAATATCTAAATAGAGAAGTCAAGTTGGGGTGATTTTTGATGGGGGGAGAGGTGGTACATGCTGACTAATGACAGCTGATACTTTTCTGGCTTCAAGTAAAAGGAATTGCATCTGGCTGACTTGAGTAAAAAATGAAGTTTATCATAAAGGTAGTGGGAAATGAGCCGACTCAGAGGGAAATCTGAATGCTCAACATTAGCCTATAGGAAACTCTGTTGTTGAAATTCATAACAAGCATTCTTCTAGGTGTTGTCACTAGAACAAGTGAGCAATTGCCCTTCAATTGCCCTCCAAGGTATTCTGATCTGGATTCACTTAAAATTTAAATTTTAGCAGAGAAAGTCTGAGTTGTATCCTCTTGAGGAGGTCGGGGGAGCTCCCACTAAGATTATATAGAATGAGGCAAGACTTGAAATCTGCATTTGTTTTCTATTGCTACTGTAACAAATTATCAAATACTTGTGGCTTAAAACAATACAAATGTATCATTTCACAGTTCTAGAGGTCAGAAGTCCACAATCAGTCTCACTGGGCTAAAATGAATGTCAGAGCAAGGCTGCTCTCCTGCCATTCACTATCACAGTTTTGCAGCTTGAGGTGATCAGAGAGTGACTGTCGCATCACGTCTGGTATCTAAAGCAAATCATATGAACAAGTTTATCTGCACAGGAGCAAGAGGGAATTATACATACCAGCTTTGTGTCTAAAATGTACCTTTTAGCAAGGTGAAGGCCAACAGGTAAATAGATCAGAGTGTGGCGAAGGAGCAAAGGTATGTGGCAGACCTGGGCAATTATGAATAAAGGCAAAAAGAGAAGGAGAATGCCATCCCTGGCAAGGGAAAGGGGGTGTTCATAAAGGGGGTGAATATGACCGTATTTTGAAGGATGAAGATTAGTCGTAATGAGAGCACATGTAAACCAAGAGGAAATTAAATCCATGTTTCTAAGGAAAAGACAAACATCTTAATCTGGACCACAGCTGAATTCCAGAAAAACAAGGAATTAAATCCAGGCCCAATCAATCATTTAATCAGCTGGTCAGGCCACCTCGACTTGCTTTGGTGATTAAAAAAGCTTAGAAAATGCACCTGGAGCCCATTTCCAAACCTTGCTGCATCTTGAAATTCCTCTTAAATTAGGATTCATAATGAATTCTCAGAATGTTTGCTGAAAAAATGTCATCAAGGAGCAGAAGTACATAGACTTGCTGGGAGGAAAAACAGTTATAATATTGTGGAGATAGTATGGTAGCTGAATTCACCAATCAGCCAGTTGCCCTGGGCTGGTTAGTTTCTTTTTTAATCTTACACTGCAATACAGAACAGCAGAATGGTGTGAAATGTGCAGAAGGGTGAGGGGGAGGAGGGATGATTAAAGCAAGCACAAAATGGGAAGGGAGCGAGTGGGAAGCAGGCCATGAAGTTCCAGCTGGCTAGCAGTGATTGATCACGGCTGCATTTGCGGTTAGACTTGTGGCCTTGGGTTTGTGGAGGTTCCTTATTCCCTCAACAATCCTTTTTCATCAGTTGTAGGGCTGGCCCAGACTAGCATAAACCAAGTCTAGAAATTTAAGATATATGATTTTTTTAGGGGTTTTTTTCTGTTTTTGGCAAATTTAATATGAGTAGTAGACACAAAAAGCTTTTAAAAATCAGGCTTTGCAGAAGGAGTTGTAACGAAGGACAGCAACTTTAGTAGTTTAGGTAGTTACTACTGTATCTATAAAGTGTCTTTATGTCACTCTTCCTTTGTGTATTAATTTGGGAGATTTCATGACTTTTTTTAGATGAGTTTAGATGTACTATCCCACTAAACCCTACCCTAATAGTTTTATTGCTATTGATTATTTTTGTCATTTTAAATGATATGACTGTTAAGCAAAATTTTGTAGGAGGCCATGGGTTTGGACTGGCACCTACACTAAGCTCACATGACCAAACCAAAATAGATTTTAATCATAGTATTTGAGCTTTGGGTTGTGGTAGGAGGCCCTGTAGCCAATCAACTAATTATACTCTAAACAATTAACTAATTTTGTTGTAACCAATTGACTGGACGATGAGCTAAGCTAGAGCCAATATTGTTTCATGTGTCTCATCTCCACTTTTTCATAAAGACCATCTGATCACCTTGGCTGGAGTTCTCAGAATCTGCTATTGTTCTGAAAGCTTCCTGATTCTTGAATTTTTGTTTGTTTCGCTTTGCACAAATATATTCTACTTAGCATCATTAGCCTAAGGAATTTCCACTTTGAAAATGCTACAGCCTATATTTCTTCCTCTACTGCCCATAAATAGTGATCCATCTTCTTTTCCCTTACAGCAAAGTAATTTTTTAAACAGGGTATTTTTTGACAGGTGAAAATAGATATATAAGATGTTAATAAATAGGCCACAAAAAAGTGTTTCATGTATAAATAAACTTAAGATATCCTGGGCAAATAGAGCAAATCTCTTTATAATGGAGCATCTCTGAAGCTTTGATGTGCAAATACATACTATGAAGCTTCAAAAGGACATATAATGTGTAGCATCTCCCAAATTTTTAATCATAAAAATGTGGTTGTGGTGTTATTTTGCCACGGAACATATAGGATGTGATTAAAGTATATGGTGAATGTTTCAATTTTTACAATTTATTACAGCAAAAGATAAATTCTTATTAATCTCTCTCAAGACTCCTCCCTTCCTTCAAGCAGTTCTGAAAGTCCTCTTTCTTGCCTTTATGAGATGTAATCAAAAGTATGATGAATGTTGTTGCCAAGTGCCATCAAGTGGAAAGGCAGGCTCATAAAAACATTACGTTTTGGCTTCACCCACCTTATTCACTCTATCTGGCACCATGCAACTTCTGCCTATTCCCTGAAATCAAAATGACCATGAATTTGATCCCCAGTAGCAAAAAAAAAAAAAAATGACCATGAAAGTTAAACTTTTTAAATTGACTCAGCACATTGGTGCAGCTACAACACCACAACTAAAGACACTCACAAAAAAGGACTTCCAGAGCTGCTTCAGAAAGTGGTGGAGTATTTTGAGGGAAATTAATAGCAATGTGTTTTTTGCTGTAATAATTTTTAATATATATCAGATAATTGATCCTTTGCAGCTGATGGATTCTTACTAGAAACTCCGTTAACATCCCAGTAACTCCTTTGCCATGCATGTTCTGCAAATTATAGCTCCACTGTTATTTTCAAACACTTGATATGCAAAAGATAGTTTGCATTTGAATTCCATTTGCATTGTTACAAAATTAAATTTAACAGCATTTGTCTATAAGAGAAATAAAAGTGCTTTTAAAGACTTTAAATGTAATTTTAATGCTTGCAAATGTTTGAGCAGTTATTTTTGAAAAGATTTTAAATATTTTATTACCTCTACATAAAACTCTGTGCCAAATGATGATGATTAAGAATTTGAAGAATACACATTAAATTATGATTGTATTGTAATCATTTCAATAAAACAATATAAAAAGCTATGTTGAATTCAGCCTCCACTGGAGATTTAGAAAGAACATTGCTCCCACCCTAACAATAAGAACAAATCAGATAACCTACAAAAATTCCAATTTTTAAAGGTCTATAAGAATATTCAGGTTGTAAGAAACCTAATAAACCAAAAATCCCCAAAGTGGCAGTAACCTCCTAGAAAGAGAGGAAACCCCATAGCTGGCTGTCAGCTCAGTGAAATTGGCAAACTAATTCAAATTTTTAAAGAAACAAGAACCTAGGGGCAGTAAAATCATGAAAAAGGAAAACAGATCTGAAGGACTTGTTCAACCTGATTTTAAGTCTTATGATTAAGCTATGTTAATCAACACAGTGTGATATTGACAAAGGTAAACAAACAGATTAATAAAACAAAATAGAGAGTTCATAACATTACCTACATATATACAACAAAATTATTTTTAACAGGGAAACCTAAGAAATTCAAAGGGAAAAGGAAATTGTGATTTTAAAATAGAGGAACAACTGGATATCTTTGTGGGAAAAGACAATAACTTTAGCTTTTTGCCTCCACTTAATTTCACAAGTAAAAATTTGAGATGAATCATAGACTTAAAATCAAAAGCTCCTAGAATGAACATAAAGAACATTTTCATGACCTTGATATAAACAGAATTTTCTTAGAACACAAAAGCCCTAACCATAAAGTAAAATAGTGATCATTGGACTTCATTAAAATTTAAAACATCTGCATAAGAAGACATAATTAAGAAAATAAAAAATAGGTCTCAGACTAGGAGAATATATTTGTAACATATACACCTGACAATCGAGCTGTATCAAGAGTGTATATATATATATATAAA